GATGTTCACTCTCGAAATAAGTCGAGTGCTAACCTAACAGCAATTGCTATTAGGGATGTAACGTATTTAAACGCCTATTTGAGGAGAATTAAAATTTTGCGGTAGAGGATTCCTTTCAAGAGAGTGCAAGAACAGGTAATTTTGCATTAGAAGGTAGGCTTACTTATTTGAGTGTTTTAGAACAGCAAAAAATACACTACGAACAACAGCACAACACAACCCGCAGACGTCGCCCTTTTTAAGTGTGACCTATGACCTTAGACCGATAATCTTCGGCCCATTAAAACAAAATGCACCTAGTCATCCTGGAAATTGTTGGTTGTACTCACTTACTTGACGGGCAAGTGAAAATATCCACCGTACTCTCTGTGAAAATTGAAACCGAGCACAGCAAATGGGGGCTATTACCTAGAGGAAAAGGGTTCTGTTTTTGAATTATTCGATCACACGTTAGTCTAGGCTAGCTTACGTGTGCACACTTAAACTCCTTATAAATTACTAATGGCAAATGTACATCAAAAACTTCAAAACGATACACCGAAAAATTGTAAAGAGAGTATTAAAAATTCGCACAAATAAAGAAGACTATGGAGAACGTATGCCCGATATCAACAACACGAACACTTCTCAGAATTTAGGAAACAGCGAAATATGTGTCGAAGACTACTACGAAAAGAACGATTGGCCTTTGAGACAGAACTGGTCAAGGGAATAGCTAAAAACCCTGAAAGATTCTTTTCTTACGTGAATAAGGCAAAAGGCAATCGAGGTCCCATTCCTTCTCTGAAAGATAGTCAGGGACACAAGTTTACGGATAACTCAGATAAGGCGAACCTCTTGTCCAATTTCTTTATGTCTGTGTAAACCGAGGAGCCGCCTTTAACAAATATGTACAGTGATATATGGTCCCAGCGGCGTATACAATTAGCACGGTATCGTTCGCAACAGATACAGTAAGAAAAGCCCTGAGTAAACTACAGCCCACTAAATCGCCTGGTCCGGATGGATTATCAGCGAAACTTCTGAATGAGCTCACAGAACAATTGGCCTCCCCACTTTCCAAGATCTTTGAAAGTTCGATGGAAAATGGGGCTCTGCCGACT